TACATCTTTTCCTAAAGATTTCTCTTCGTTTTAATTTTGTTATATTTGTCATTTTTAGTAAAAAATCAAAGAGACAAAACCAAGAATTTGTGTGGATAATTATCGGATTAATATATTGGATAATTATCATGATAAAATTAAAGAACACAAATATCTTGATAATTTAAATCCCTGGTTTTTCGTATTATATGTAGGGAACATTCCATAATACTTAATTAATAACGCATTGTAAAATGCTTTTAACATATATTCCCAGATATAGATACATGTAGTCACGGACGAGCACCAATGTATTACGCAGAGTCAATAAATACACAAACTGGGTTTTACGCGAAGAAGTGCTCCAGCTTGCTCGCCTACACGACGGGTACTTGTGGCTCTGAGGAAATACTCTTTGGAGAATATGTGCCTCTTAAGTAAGACTTTCAAACTATCATTCCTACTTGTAACTAGAAGGTACTGTACAAACAGAGTAGAATCTGACTCTGATTTTCACCACTAGTTCATCATCTAACTCATAGAAAATAAATTTTAATTTGTTTTTTCAACTCTATTTAATTTTTCATATCCTTAAAATAAGCTTCGCAGCATTTTATGGGCGACGTATTTTAAAGCTACGTTTAATTTCAAAAAGTACCCAATTAACACAGTTTAAATGTTGCTATGTTTCATCATACGGATTATTTAATAAATGTTATTTTTTCAGTGTCAAGGGTATATACTTTTTCTCTACGAACTCTACGTCTCCGTATGCGAGAGGACGGACCAAATAAATCACTATATTTTGTTTTAAACATTATCACTTGTGATATTTTTGTAGAAGATGCAACGTAAACTGAATAAAAATTAACAAAATAAACATGTTTCTTTATTCTTTACTTTTACTTTCTTTACTCAACATGTTTCTTCTTTATACTTCTACAAAGTTTGCACTTACGAACAAATAGCATGACGCCAAATGGTGTGAGTCTGTGGATTATAGCGTGTGCGGTAAAGTAATGGGTTGTCATCGTGCCAAAATTTGGACCGCAGATTTGAAATTTAGCTGCTTATGATGTCATTTCACGGGCTAAACTCACTGAGCCCACCTTAAGCGAACAATTTACCCTGTGACCTCCATTTGTCGACCTAGGTTTTCCTGTTTTCCAGCTTTTATTAGACTATCTTCCTGGTGTATTATATGTTTTAGATAGGCTGCTATTCTGGAAAGCAATCGTATGTAATTACAAAGTTATACTGTGTACGTGATAACTTTACGCTAGGTTAAAATCGAATCCCCCCCGAATGAGTTCCCGCCTTGTCGTGGCGGGGGAATTTCGGTAGCCGTGGTCCCACGGGCTGGCCGATGGAGCTAGCCTGGCCCTAGGAGGAGGGAGTACCGCATGTGCTCGTCTTGGTCCAGGGCGAGCGGAGTGAGGAGAGTTGCGGGGGAAGACGCGTGTCGGTGTGTCGTTGCCGCTCGTACTGTCCTCCGCGAACCTAACGGGGCTGCACCGCTTACGGTCATATGCAGTCGCGGTGGTGCCACGGGGAAATAGACGTGTCGGTGTGTCGTTGCCGCTCGTCCTGTCTTCCGCGGCCGAATTTGGGCGATCAGCCCTTGCGGTGGGCGCTCCAAAGGACTGTCTTCGGAAAGTCTACGCGGATGCGCGAAGGGGTGTTGCGGCGGAGCCACTGACACAACCGCCGCGGTGGCTGGGGGAGCATCTACTGAACTTCATCGAGAAACAAACCATGAGGTCTTCTGATAGATCACTCAGCGCTTCCAAGTGAATGTAATTGTATTACATAGAAACAAATAAGCATTTTTAATTTGGCGTTTGTAGTTTTAATTTTTGGTTTGGCTACTGCCTTTTCTATTTATGATTTCAAAGGAGCCTGCAAAGTTTAAACTTACTGACGTTAAATTAAAGACTGGAATTAGTTACTTGGGTGCTAGATTACCCATTTTTGAGGATAGCGCTTTAGGTATAACTCGAGGGCAGCTTACAAAGTTAATTTACAGTAGACCGCGATAGCTGCCATTGATAGGTCCAACAATTTCTCTAATAGTATTTAAAGTTCTTCTCTTGATATTTTTTTTTTTAACTTTGGGAGAACCTTATCTTATTTCTAATGATGTAGATAATTGTCATTGAAAGGATAAATAAATTAAAAAAAAAAGGTTTTAATAATGTCTTCCTCACACTCCGCGCCTACTTGGCATAGACATCTCATGCTTCAATAAATCGCACTTGCAGTGCCGTAAGTGAGAGTATTTAATAGCAATTTCTTCATAGGTTGTGACTCATCCTCTCTCCATAATATTAGTGATAAATTGCGATCGTCTTCGTGTACCCATATTTGACTACACATTTTTCTCAATATCGGCACATAATATGTATTGGTATCACAGTGTTTATATTGTGGCGCTAATTAATTTGAGAAAAGATATTCTCGTGCCGGACTGCCACGCAGAGGTCCCAGGTTCGATTCCCGGGCCGGGAGAAATATTTGTATGGCCTACAACTATTTCTCTCGTGAGTTTGGGTGTAATTTGTGGTTGTCTATATGTGTGTCCATGGCACCCGCGACACAGGGTTTCCTTAGTGCGGGGCTATGTTGAGTGTGTGCGTTACTTAAAAAAAAAAAAATTTGCGAGTACCTACCCTAGCGAGAAGTTGAGATTTGAGCCGTCAAAAATTTCTTTTGTTATTCAATCTTTATTGAACGCAGCGTGATGGCACAAAAAATAAGATGAATTTGATTTATCGATGGTGACCTGTGTTAGATGGTCTAATTTAGCATAATCTAGGATAAAAATCGTTAATATAGTGTGACTTCAAAGCGGAATTTTGCCTAAATTTGGCTTATTAGACTGCAGTTTTATTATTTTTTGTGTAATTTAGTAAATAGACAAAATGCTTTCAATATATTTAAATACCTCGCGAGGATCGTATAAAGCTGTGGGATATGCCAACCTCCATGATAAAAAGGCGTGAATTATATCCATGTGTATGGCCTTGGACGTCTTGGTTGAAGTTAGTTACTAGTTGAAAGTTGTAGTTAGTTGGGGTGAATTGACACACAATTGCGAGAGTTTAAAATTATAGGACTTATTGAAAGTTAAAAACACAAGTTGTAATGAATGTTAATGTGACCAATCGCGACTGCGTAATAACGTAAAGTGAACTAAAATAAATTGACTGCGGTGGAAGTAAACCGCAAACTCAGCACAAAAAGAAACCGTATACTGTGTATGTTTGAATGCGTAATGCTTGGTAGCTAATAATTTGGTAGCGTACGCAACAATTACAGATTTTGCATGGCGGGTTTTTTTTTATACAAATAGATGGCCAGCTATTATTCCATAGATAATACAATAAGAACTAAAATGCTGTAAAAGGCAAAAACGCATGCAGCATACGCATATTAGACATGAAATAAATAATTTCAAAATACTAAAAATACTGAAAAATTTTAATTTATAAAATTTAGTAAAATGTAGTTAAATTGCAAATGTTTAGCTTTTTGCTACATTTCAAGCTTCTGCGGAATACATTGAAATTTTTGAAGCATAAAAACTTTTTGCTTAATCTTGATGTTGAGAAGTACAGTGCAATTAATACAAAAATAAATCCATTACTACCATAAGCTTACCGGCTTAGTAACGAAAAAGCCCGTGTGCGTAATTTAGAACATTATGGTCTACTTTGTCTACATGTTATGACACTGTTTACGAGCAAATGTTATGAAAATACTATTTTACTATCTTAATAGAATGTAAACTGTATATCTTATATACTATAATTTCTTTATTTCTTTTCTTTTCTTTCTTTAGAAATAAATAATTGAAAATGTAGACTTGCAATAAATTCACATCTGCAAGATAACAACTTTTCAGAAGAGAGGCGAGATAAATCGATGCCTTACTTTCTCAACATTGTATCGTAAAAAGAGTGATTATTCAAGAGATGGGAAAACTTTCCATTTATTTTAAATTTTTTATCAAGGGCGTTTATTTGCATGCATTACTTTAAGAATGGATGGCCAGTGTGTGAATATGAAGGAAATGTGATGTGAAATCAGCCTGCAAAATTTGTATATGTACAATCCATTTTTTGCATTTCAGTAACTCTCTGCTTTAAGATACGGATTTGAGAAAGTAACGCCACGAAATGGAATTTGTCGATAACTTTTTATGCTCAAATAAAACAATTATAAAATTTCACAAATACATATTAATAAGCAGTTGTTGCCAACGACTTCGTCCGCGCACAGTTTTTATATGCATTTAATAAACCGAAAAATATTCAAGTTTGTAAAACTTTAAGGGATATGGTCTACATTTTAAGGTTTTCGTCGTTACTCACTAAATGATTATCACTAAATATAGGTTTCTTACACCGGCATGATTTACTTTTTTTTTCCTTAAAATCATTTCGGAATACAATCTTCTGTAGAAAAGGTTGTTTAAAAATACTTGTCCCTATTTAAGGCTTAAATTTGAAAATCCTTGAAAAATGAATTTATTACGTATACGTATTAACTCATTTGCGCCAGCCGTGCCCAATCGAGGACAAAGCCGCCAAACGACATTCAAATTGAACCGAATACATTCTTATACAAACTACGTATATATTATAACATACATACACATTGCTACGTACCAAATATATAACTGTATACACATACAATATATAGAATATTCATTTCATACATAATATATATACACACAAAACGTGAAAAATCTACCTAGTAACTATATTGTTGTCTGCTGTCTGCGTATTGTTATTGTTTAGCTGCTTGTTTTTTCATTAATAATATATATATCTAAATAAATTTATTGTATAAAATGTTAATATATTTCGAAACAATGCAGACAATATAATAATAATCCACCAAAACCGCTGACAAAAATCGACTAGTACTCGTATTATTTAATCTTCAGCCAGTATATAAGCACCTACTAAAACTTTTCTTTACTTGAGAAGTATACTTGGGAAGATTAAGATCGCAAAATGTGGTACCAAACATTTTTTCGTAAAATCGTTTTTCTTTTAATAATAGGCACCAGTAGTGCCTTATTGAACCAATGTATATTACCACCGCCCGTATGTCCCAACGCAAATGTAACATTCTTCCTGTACACACGGTATGTAGTTTCTTATATTTTTTTTACTTTGAAGGAAAATGCATGTGTTGAATTAAGTTTTTTTTTTCATTATGTTCCAGTAATTACAAACATTCCCATAAAGATACTAATTATTTCTTACATCAATAGATACAAACTTGTAGATATATTGTACTTCGTAACATTTTAGCGGAGCATTGGTATAAATTATTGTCATTTCACATTGTTATTTAACTACTTAATTTATTTTACAAAGTTTTAAGTAAATGATACTGTTTTTTTAAAATTCATCTGAAGTTTCGTATATTTTCCTGTATTCAAATCATTATCTTTCCTAATCATCCCCGTCGCATTTATTTGAAAGTTACTTTTGTATACATTAACATTTTGTATATGCAGAGCTAATAAAGACAATCCGCACCAACTGTTCGCACTCGACCCCCAGTCCATCACGTCGGCTCCGTTTGTGAAGGATGCCCCTATCAAGATTATCATTCATGGCTATACCAAGGACAAGGACTCCATACCTAATACTCTATTACGACCAGGTAATGATTTTGACATTATATTTTTTCTAAAAGACCATTTTGTTTTCTAGAAAACCAACCTACACTTACAAAAGGAAATTCACCGAAAAAAACCTCTCTTCTTTTAAACAAGAGCTAAGGCTTACAAACTGGTACGATATAATATCACTTGAAAATGATATTAACAAGAATTATAACCTTTTTGAGAACAAACTGATTGAAATTTTAAATGCTTATATTCCACAAAAACGCACGATGCTTTCTACGAAGAATAAAAAGACTTGGTTAACAAATGGACTTAAAATATCACGCAAACACAAAAGACTTTTAAAAATAATAATTAATCAAACTAACAACAAAATTATAAAAGAACACTTTAAGAAATTCTCCAAAATCCTTAAAAAAAGTGTAAAATTATCAAAAAACATCACATACTCCAAAGCAATGAAACAATCTAAAAATAAAACTAAAACCATGTGGATGATAACAAATAGAATAATATCAAAACGCCAAAGCAAAAATCCCTGTAATATAAAATTAAAATACAATAACTATAATGTTCATTGTCCTGTAACTGTGGCTAACACATTTAACACGTACTTTGCATCAGTGGGTACTATGCCCCTACAGTCGGGTGGAGTTGGAACAGTATCGTCCCAGGGCAGTCCCGCACTAACACCTACTGTAAACTCCATGTATTTGCAACCTGTGACGGAGAGAGATATATATAACCTAATCCAAAACTTGCCCAATGTGCTCAGTTGTGGTACTGATGACATTCCACCAGTACTAATAAAGGCTTGCATAAATGAATTGACTCCGCCTTTAACATTTCTGATAAATCAATCTTTTATTGAAGGCACTTTTCCCGACAAATTCAAAATAGCTAAACTTAAACCGATTCTTAAAAAAGGCTCCAAAACTGATGATAGCGCTTCTTCCTTTTTTATCTAAACTATTTGAAAAAACCATGACTATCCGAGTGTACAACTTCTTAGAAAAATATAATATTTTCAGTGACAATCAATACGGGTTTAGGAAAAAGCGATCTACGTCTGAGGCAGTATTCAAATATGTGCAAGAGATTCTGACCTACATCAATGACAAGCACTATGCAATCGGAATTCTTCTCGACATGTCTAAAGCATATGACCGAGTTTCACATTCTATTCTACTCAACAAGCTGCACGGAGTAGGCATAAGGGGCGACGCTGTGAAATGGATCAAATCTTACCTATCAAACCGCAAACAATGCGTCCAAGTATACCACCTCGATGAAAACACAGGCGAGCTGAGAAATATACTGTCAGAAGTAGTCACTACTACCTGCTCTATCCCACAAGGTAGCGTTATAGGATGTGTCTTGTTTTTAGTCTATATCAATGATCTACCTAAAGTTTCAAACACATTATGTGTAATGTTTGCCGATGATGTATCATTATTATTTGAATGTAAAAACATAGACAACAATACTATTACCATAATTAACAATTCTTTTAATATTATGAAACACCGGCTTCTGAAACAAAACCTAGAAATAAATTTCAAAAAAACCAAATTAATTCAATTTCGACCACATCAAAAACACTCATTAGATTTAAATAAAATTGCAAATAGCCTCAATATAGAAGAGACAACACATTTTACACTATTAGGAATGACATTAGATTCACATTTAAATTGGAAAAGCCATATTGAAACGATCAAGTCTAAATTGTCCAAGTTTATTTACGCACTAACCGTACTAAAAGCCAACACCAAACGCGAATTTGCACTCTCTGCATACTATGCATATGCCTATGCGTGGCTACGCTACGGCGTTATTATGTGGGGCCATAGTACCGACGCAAATGATATTTTTATCATCCAAAAGAAATACCTACGCATCATAACCCGAGAGATACATGCAGGCCACATTTTATAAAAGAAAAAATTTTAACTCTTCCGTCTATATACATTTTGGAAACTGCCATGTTTGTAAGACAACATTTGGATCTTTTTGAATTCGTAGAAAGCACACGTCGAAACGCAAAGCTCGTATTACCAACTACAAGATTGGAAATGTTTAGAGATAGCCCGCTATATAGATGCATACTAATTTATAACAAAATACCAGACATCCTCAAGAAAGTAGATAGTGACAACTTGTTTAAAACCAAGTTGAGGTCTCTCTTGTTAAGTAAATGTTATTACAATGTGGGAGACTTCATGAACTCTCCTATAAGTTAAAAGAGTCTAGTTTCAGATAAGTCATTTTAAGTCTATGTAATACTATGATCTAAAGTTTATTAATGATAATTTTCAGATCCTATATATATTAGTTCCTAAATGTTATTATTATTATTTTTTGCTATTATTTTTATTTTTACAATTTTAATATTACGTTTAATAATAATTAATTGCTGCACCCCAAAGGGGTATGTATGTACTTATTACCTATGTAATTTTTGTACCTACATTGTTTGCAAATAAATAAATACTATTTGTAATTATATTTATATAAGATGTTAAAAAAGTACGTCTGCAATTCTATGGTGTGACTGTAGTGTGTGTAGACTACACTCATCAATAGCACTCAACTACCCATAGGAAACTCGTATGCATTTTGGGATTTTTTTAAATTTTTACTATACTTACAAATAGGTTGAGGCCTTATTAATTTTCTCCGCTGATACCCTCAGATTTCTCTATTTTTTCTACTGCGTATCAATGATATGTTAATTTCAGGTACCTTTGCATATGCTGATGACAGCACAGTTGTAAATAGGTAGTTGACCAATGCGAGGGTCATGGAGAGGAAATCCAGTCTTGTCGAGAGACCATGGTTAGCAGTTTGGATTTGACACTCAAGGTAGTCTCCGATTGGGGTGATGCCTGTCATGTGATCTTGTCAAATTTAACGCTACCAAAATCCAATCATCCAATTTGAACTTCGAGATTTACTGAACCCATGGCCAAAAATGCAGCAAGGAAACTTGGCATCTTTTCCAGGGTGAGGCGTTACTTTACACCGGGACAGCGCCGTATCTTTCTATATTAGTTTTGATTATAGTAACCCTCTTATCGCTGAGGATATACGAGAAGGACACTATAACCTGTGCGCGCACAGGAACCTTATAAGTTCAGGTTCTGACCCCAGATCAGCCAGTGTACAGGGTTATAACATACCTCTGTCACTTGACTTCATCCGGTTCTTCCAGAGGCTAGTGCCTCGGGTGAGCCGCCCCGGGTGCTAGTACAGTACCCTCCCTATTTTCCAGGTAGGTACTGGAGCTGTAGGCACGCTCACTTCTCGTTGCGCATTACATAACTAGCGGTTGCCACCGCTAAACCGTCGACTTTGAGTCCACTACCAAATCTCCTCATTGGTTTACACCGGGACTGTTACTTTAGCTGTACCAAACACAAGTCCGGTCATGCATGGAGTACTGCTGCCACCTGTGGGATGGCTCTGTTACATACCAGCTGGCCACCTTGGATTTAATGGACAACCGTGCCAAGAGGCTTATAGGTGACTCGGAATTAGTGGAGGCGAAGCTGTAGAGCCTTCACCATCGTCGTAAAGTTGCTAGCTTATTGGTATTTTACAGGATATATCACTCAATCAGGGGTGATGGAATTACACGATTTAATTCCGCCGTCCCCTTCCCGTCACCGTAGGACTAGGCGTAGGCTTGGGTTCCACACATATATTGTGGATATTCCAAAGATGCGCACGAATTATTACGCTTCCACATTTATATGGCGAACGGCTATGGAGTGGAATTCCCTGCCTGCAGACTTGTTCCCTCAACGTTATAACTTGGGCTTTTTCAATGCGAGAGTGAATAGGCATTATTTAGGTGTGTATGCTCCATCACCGACCTTATCGACACTTTCCATCAGGTGAGATGAGGGTCAAATGCGCACTTACATTGTATAAAAAAAAATTCTGTTTACATACCGAAATCCTATTTACGTGTAACGTTTGTAAAGTCTCGCAACTTTATAATTGTTGCGTAAAAAAGCCAAGGCGCATTACTACGCGTGGACTGCATTATGGCGCTTGTGGTTATTCTTTGCCTGTGCTAATCTCCCCATAATGATACACTGATACACGTGATACTCACGCGTTCTTTCCTTCACGGCAGCCGGCGTAAGCCTTCGGGTAACCCTAGTACGAATAGACACCTCCCGATGGTACAAAGTTTTGGTCGTTATTATTATTATTATTATTATATATATATATATAAAGCTACAAGTTCTTACTCACTGATAGAAATAGAATGCATACTTCCCGATATGGTGGAAAAGAATATTTATACCGTTGTACGCGGATAGGCTCCAAAGCAAAGAATCAAATATGAGAGGACATGAATATGGATAATATGAAAGAGTGATCCACGGCCTGCAAAAACTATAATACACTTCTTATCAGAAAAATCGAAACACCTTGAAAGTCTATGTTTTGTAAGGATTATCAGAAAAATGTGTATATTTAGGAATATAATGTCAAATGTCGTTTAATAGTGAATAATATGAGGTTTTGAAATCGTATTGTTAATGTTCTAAATACAAATAAAATTTTCATAGGTTTCGTATTTTGTGTAACGAGTCGTTTTTACCCAGTATGGAGTATGAAGGAAATTGATAAAACAGCACACGTAAATGAAAAAGCTAAGAAACGTTTATTTAATAACTTATATTCCCTCCCCGAGCTCTGATTACTGCTTCCATACGGTTCTTCATCGATCGGATAAGAGTCACGATCAAATGTTGTGGCATTTCATCCCATTCCTCTTGGATTGCATTTTGCAGCTGACTAAGTGTTTCTGCGGCAGGATCTCTTGCACGAATTCGTCTCTTTAATTCATCCCATAGATGTTCAATCGGATTCATGTCCAGGCTTCTTGCTGGCCATTCCATAATGGAGATTCCGACTTCGGTAACATAATCTCGTACGACCCTCGCGGTGTGAGCCCTAGCATTGTCGTGCATGAATATGAAACCGTTGCCAGTAAAATGTGCATAGGGCATCACGTGAGGTTCAAGACACTGTTCGATGTACCGATGACTGTTTAGTGCAGGCAGACGTGGCCCAGATACGAAGACAAGCTCTGTCTTACCGTCGACGTTGATTTCTCCCCAAACCGTCCACGAACCTCCACCATAGCTGACCTTTTCTTCAATGCAGCATTATGCAAAGCATTCTCCATCTCTTCTGTAGACCTTGTTCCTTCCGTCGTTACCATACAGCATAATTTTACACTCATCAGAAAAGAGGACTTTGCTCCAATGAAGATATGACCAATTTAGGTGCTCACGTGCAAAGTTAAGGCGAGCTCTTCGATGGTCTGCAGTTAATTTCGGCCCATTTGCTGGCTTGTGCGGTACCAGTCCACGTTCCTTTAACATTCTTTTAATTGTAGAGTTACTTACAGCCACCCTACGTACAACATGAAGCTGCTGCTGCAGTTGAGAAGCGTTAAGGCGTCGATTTCGTAAAGAAGTTGTTACAATAAATCGATCATCTCGCTCAGAAGTGACCCGATACCTACCAGATCCTGAACGGCGCGTGAACAATCCGGTCTCCCGATAGCATTTGTAGACTCTATGCACAGACGACAGGCTTAGATGCAATCTTTCAGCCATAACACGCTGACTAAGTCCAGAATCCAGCAATGCCCACTTAGGCGGCTTCTGCGGGCGAAGTATCCATGTTTTAGAAAAAAAAACTTTTTCAGACGTCCCAAAGTCACAGTAAACAAATAAATAACAAAAAGTTTCAAGATAAGCGCTAATTTTTAGTTTTCAAAGGTGAAATGTACTCCAACTCTAAACACATATTTGTATCAAAACAGTGAATCATTTCATTTATAGGATAAACAAATGAAATTCTAATTTTGAATTTTTAATTTTCGCTTACCATTGTAATGGCCAAACTGCCATGATTGTATAATCATGTGCTTTTTTTCATAGAATGAAAACTCTTTTGTGTTAAATTAGGACAGAAATCATAAAAACGGAAGTGTTCCGATTTTTCTGATGAGAAGTGTATATGGAGTGAATATTTGTGCATTTTTATGAAGTACACCCTGGTAAATTTCCGCGGGAAGTAAAAAATGTTCGAAATTCAAATAAACAAGATGGCCGCCATACAAATTTCAAAGCCTCCTATCACGGAAAGTATTAGAGATAGGTAGGAGGTGCTCGAAGGAATGTCATAGAGGGTAACACTGGTCAACTGCCTGGGTTAAAAAAAATCAAGCTGGCGATTTCAAAATGGCGGCCGAAGATAAACCTGCTTCGATCCGGCTGAAAATTGGCATGCGAGGGTCTTTCTCCTTAATCATAATTTGGGGTCAAAAATTTGTTTTCGCCATTTTTTAATATGGCTGCCATATAAATGTTTTTTTCGTTTAAAATAGCTGCCGAAAGATATTTGCTCCGATTCGACCAAAAATTGGCATGTGAAGGCCACTAGAAATGCCGGATAATAATTTGTGCTCAAAATTTGTTTTTCGCTATTTTCAAATATGGTCGCCATAGAAGCGTTCGTTGGCGGCAGAAAAAAACATTGCTCAGATCCCTTTGAAAATTGGCATATGGGGGTCTCTAGGAGTGCTTGATAATAATTTGTGATCAAAATTGGTTTTTCGCCGTTTTTAAATATGGCCGCCATACAAACGCTTTTAGCGGCAGATAAAAATTTGCACTAATTCGATTGAAAATGGATATGTCGGGGTCTTTATGAGTATTTAGTAATAATTAGCGGTTAAAATTTATTTTTCGCCATTTTTCAATATGGCTACCATACAAACTTTTTTGGCGATAGATACAAATTTCTTCTAATTCGACTGAAAATGATATGGCATCATAATTTGGGGTAAAAATTTTGTTTCCGCTGTTTTTCGATATAGCCGTAATTTATTTATGTAACTTGCTTTGCTCGGACTGAAAATTAGCACGAAAAGATTTCTAAGACTGTTTGATAATAATTAGTGGTCATAATATATTTTTGTAATTTTTAAATATGGCCGCCATTAAAGAGCTATTTTAATTTTTTTAAAACCAATTCCTAAGTGTCGAGGCCGTAGGTCGAGGTCCGCGGAGGGCGAAGCCCGGAGCGTCCGCACGCCTTGGTATGGAGGTATACGGAGGCGTAATAGATTACGAGTACAAGATCACACAATTGTAAAAATGTAAGGCATACTTCCCGATGTAGTGGAAATGGGATACTTATTATAGCGTTGTTGTATCTCAACCATATCTGTTAGATTCCATTTTCTGAAAGCTATGCCAAAGAGAAGTATTTAGAGGGAAAAAATGCCAAACTACTGCCGAATTTTCTGTACTATGAATACCAAAACAACGATAATCCAGAATACTCAGACCAAAACTAACTTAGAAATGTTCGTTTCTTAAATTGGACCAAATCGGGAATCGACCTCCTCATCAAGCGCCCATAGTACTAACTGTTGTGCCACCAAAGAGCATGAGCACAACCCGTAAACTGAACCCAACCACGCGCCGCAGGCCGAGCCCGACCCCACCGTCGGTGGGATACAGGGCTCGAACACTTATACAATTGTACGAAATAAACACAACAAAAGTCGTCTTAATTTATTTCATATGGTTTTTCTCAAGCTTATACAACACTAGCTGCCAATGTCAACAAAGAAAACACGAAACAGCCAGTATCGTTGCAGTCAGTACGCGAAGCATTTTATATCATTGTAGTAGTTTGTACTTCGAATAATATAGACAAAATACCAAATAATAATACTGTCTGCATTTTTTCTTTTTTTTTCAGCGTATATGGAGTGCTGCGACTATAATTTGATATCGGTAGACTATGGCCCCCTGGCCCGTTCGCCGTGTTACATTCAAGCGGTTGATAACACGCAACTCGTGGCTAATTGCACAGCCCAGTTGGTGAATGTCCTGGTACAAGACTATGGCTTCGATCTGTCAAAATTCCATGTTATTGGATTCAGTCTTGGTGGTCAAATTGCAGGTATCATGGCAAATTTCATGACATCAGGACGCCTAGAACGGGTCACAGGTAAATATGTTTACTATACTTGTTTATTATGTATGTACGAACGAGAATGTAAGTATATATAAGAATGTAGGTAAGCTCCGAAAACTAAATTAAAAATGAGCTTTTTCAAAATAATGAATATTACTGCGTTGTTTACAAAAAAAGTTTTGTGCAAATAAAAATACTGAAACAACCGAATGATTTACTGAAAGTTCCGAAATTTCTTGCTGAGATAATACTATACTTAATATAACTTAACTTATATTGTACCGATAATTATTATTAGTCCTATTTCTCGTAAATTTTTTTTTGTTTTATAATATCAAGTGACGGCACGAACAAGTCGTGCGTCCGATAGTAAGCTACACGCCACAGCATTTCCACAACATTTGCAGTGCCACTCAGAGCTTTAAATCGCAAAGACCTGAGGGGCACTGCCCCATATTAGAGAATTAACTAAAACGTGCATCGCATTTACATCGCGTTTGTATCGCGTTTGCATCGCGTTTACATCGCTGCTAAAACACTATGTAACCACTTTTATTCGTACCTACCTGCATGTGTATGTAATACATAATGTATGGTAGAGATTTCTAATTAAGTACACTCATTATACCGTCATTCAAGCTAAGCTTGGGAATTTCGTTACTGTAGATTTTTTACGGCCTTTTAAACCTTGTGAGTGTTAGTAAATCACATATCGTACTTTATTTCCACAAATGTTTTAGACCTTTTTTGCGTTACGTGTAGCTTTTCTTAATTATTATTTAAAGAAATATGAAGGTGTTCAAGCATTTACTTGATTAATGGTTAACGAGCGAATGACATTCGTTTGTTTCCTACTCTGGCATTTACAGGTCTCGACCCTGCGTTCCCCCTTTTCACAACACTTGACAACAGTAAGAAGTTGGACAGTGGTGATGCCAAATTCGTGGACGTACTACATACGAACGCATTACAAGCTGGCAAACTAGAACCGTCCGGTACAGTGGACTTCTACGCCAATGATGGCTCAGTACAACCTGGTTGTACTAACATTTCTCTGGATAATAGTAAGTGTGTCTTTAAGTAAATTGATAGTAAAGTTGCACTGTCCGTAACAAAGGTCACTATTTTAAATCCATGGGAAAAATATTCAATTGTAAAATTTTGCGCACCCAAATGTCTAGAACAGTGACAAACAAAAAACTAGAATAACGCTGCGCTCCGGTAGGGTATTTACATTCCACCTAGTTCTATCTTAGGCTTATTTTCAAATAAATTACTATTTATTTGCAAAAGCCATTTAGGTGGGTACAGGACACATTTCAGTTCTTTTGACATGAAAAGAACGACCCCTAAACTGAACTTCGACACACGCGACTCCGACAACATGTTACATCGACATGATTTTACTCAGACATTACGTTACTCCAACAATATGTTACTTCGACATTATTTTACACACACACTACGCTACTCAGACATGTTACATCGGCATGATTTTACTCAGACACTACGCTACATCGACAACACAGACGAGGTGTTTATTAAAAAAAATCTTTGTATTCTGATAAGAAAAATCATCATTACAAACCCACGTAGGAAATAATTTTCTATATCGGTCACTATGGCAAAAAAGGACAACATTATGTAATCGGACATTTATTTTATTAAAATACAGAGTTTTTTTAAAACGGGCAGATGAGGAAGTCCGAAAACATAGAAGATACAAGGAAACTATCTTAGGAACCACAAAGTCGTCTTTTTTTTTGGGACAACAATTTTGGCATAGTTAATTTTTTGGTCAAGCGTAAATTGTCCAAAAAAGCAAATGCAAATTGATCAAAACCTTTTTTAGTGCTGATCGACTCAGAGTTATGAACGGATCATTTCATTGTATGGACGAAGAAAATCGGAACAGTAGAAGTTCGTCAAATTTAATAAAATGTTATTCATTCGGAATGAAATTTTTTTTATTAAATTTGGCCAACTTCGCTGTCCCGATATTTTTCTTCGGGTACAATGAAGTCATCCTTTTAAGAAACTGAGTCTATTAGCATTAAAAAAAAACTTTGTAACCACAACTGAAATTGTCAATTTTATTTATTTTTCATGAAAAATATTTCATGGAATTTGATCAACTTCTGCTGCCCCGATTTTTACAAATACGTACAATGAAATGATCCCTTCATAACTCTGAGTCGATCAACACTAAACAAAATTTTGATCAATTTTATTAATTATTATGTGCAACACACGCTTGACTAAAAACAAAATGCCGAAATTGATTTCATAAAAAAAACTTTATGGTTCCGAAGACAGTTTTTTTCTATGGTTTCGGATTTCCCCAATTGTCCTACTAAAAAAAACACTCTGTATAAAGTAAAACAAAAAAAAAAAATTAAAGTAAAATAAAATATACAATTTCAAAAGTCCAATCCATTATCCAAAATTGTGCTTCGAAAAGCAGTTTCAAATTTTCTTCCGTCCCGAAAAGAATAATTTATGTTTTTTCTGTTTACTGTAATAAGGTTTTTGTACATAAATGAAATAGTGTAGTAAAAGTTTATATTGTAATTTTGTTACACTTTATATAACTAATAAAAGAATTTTTTGATTATATGATTCTGTTTTTTTTTGTTATACTGATCGATATATAATAAGAAACCATTTCCTAGATGGGTTTGTAATGATGATTTTTCTTTTCAGAGTACAAAGATTTTTTTTAATAAACACCTCGTTTGTGTTGTCGATGTAGCGTAGTGTCTGAGTAAAACCATGCCGATGTAACATGTTGTCGGAGTAGCGTAGTGTCTGAGTAAAATAATGTCGAAGTAACATATTGTCGGAGTAACGTAATGTCTGAGTAAAATAGTGTCAACGTAACATGTTGTCGGAGCCGCGTGTGCCGAAGTTCAGTTTTAGAGTCGAAAAGAACTTAAGAGTGCCTTTTATTGTTATTAACCGCAAAACTACGAAAAAACGAAACGGGAAAATATTCTGTTTATTTTCGGAATGGTTTTATGTACGACAATGTATTGGTTATATATATTATATATAATCATGTGCCTACAGATACGTAAAGAGCAAACGTTTTAAAGTATAGTATTATAAACATTTCATAGTTCGAAATCTACAAGACTACAACGTTAGGCTATATCTGGACATTCACAAATCTTTACAATTATTTGTTTAAATTTGCCACAAATTTGAAGTTTGAATAAAGACCACAAGCACAGTTTGACCTGTTTCTTTGAGTACCAATTAATTACTTTCAACGGACAATTCTAGGAAAGTCCTAGAATGTTTTTTTTTTAAAATAAACATGCAAAATAATGAATGGTAATAATCGCGGTGAAAGGATTTGCCAATCGGTGTTAGGTACTCGTCGGTTGTTCCCCAGGGTGCGCCAGACGTGCAGGAAAGGAGTGGTACGTCGTGCGGGGAAGTTTAGAATCGCCGACCACGTCCACGTACTAGCACTATTAGCGCAAGATTAAGACGTCCCTGTCTCGATTTTTGTTAGGAAACGAAGTTTTCTTATTGGTTTGCACAAGTGAGAGAACCGTTAATTTGTTTAATTATCTGGCACATAAAAGATCAATACTTTCTACTAATAAACTTTGTGTCCCCTCACAAAAATGTAAATTATAATCATCGTAGTATTTTTTTTGCCGCGTTTGAAGTGATAATTTATCATAGATAATTACCGTGATAATTATCAGGATAATTATCTTTATAAATATACCTTATCTTGATATTTATAATATTAATTGGAACAACAAAATGCGACTGCTATCTATATCACGCCATGTGTTTATGTCATATAAGTGAATATATTCAATTTTAACAAAATGTCACTATCAAAAACCAAACCAAATCTTTTTCCCAAAGATTTCTTCGTTTTTATTTCCTTAAGTTTCACATTTTTAGTAAAAAATTAAAGAGACAAAACCAAGAATTTGAGTGGATAATTATCAGATATAGTATATCGGATAATTGTTATGATACATATAATAGATAGATAAAGAACACAAATATTTTGATGATTTAAATCCCTGGTTTTTCGTATTATGTATATGGATTATTTCATTAATAACGTTTAGTAAAATGCTTTTAATATATCTTCCCAGATGTACAGTCGCGTAGTCACGATCGAGCACCAATGTATTACGCAGAGTCAATAAATACACAAACTGGGTTTTACGCGAAGAAGTGCTCCAGCTTGCTCGCCTACACGACGGGTCTTTGTGGCTCTGAGGAAATACTCTTTGGCGAATATGTGCCTCTTAAGTAAGACTTTCAAACTATTATTCCTACCCTGTACAAACAGGGTAGT